AAAAAAAAAAAAAAAAAAAGATTATCCAGTCTGAGGAGTGGAGAAAGAAAAAAAAAAAATGAAGAAAAATGGAAAGAGCCTAAGTGACAACATCAAGTATACCAACATATACAAAATGAGAGGTCCAGAACAAAATGAAAGAGGCATAGAAAATATGTGAACAGGAGCACCTGGGTGGCTCAGTCGGTTAAGCATCCAAGTCTTGATCTCAGCTCAGGTCTTGATCTCAGGGTCATGAGTTCAATCCCTGCATTGGGCTCTGTGCTGGGTTCCACACTGGGCATAAAGCCTACTTAAAAAAGAAAAAAAAAAAAAGAATATTTGAACAGTGGCCAATCTACATATCTTAAAAAAATTCAATGAACCCGAAAGAGAATAAACCCAAAATGATGCAGTGAGATGTAGTATAATCAAACTGTTGAAACTCCCCAAAAAAGACAGAATTCTAAAAGCAAGAAAAATAACCCATCATCAGAAGCCAGAAAGCAGTGCAATGACATATTTACGGTGCTGAAAGAAAAAAGCTGTCAACCAACAAATCTCTAACAAAAATGTCTTTCAAAAATAAAGGAAAGAGAACAATTTATGGCATGACAGCATGAGCTCAAGTGACCTGTTGCTCTGCACTGAAACTGATGAAAACTACTTTTTTAAGCCATTTAAAGCCTCTGGAAACTGACCTAAAGACGAAAGGCAAATGAAAAAACCTACATTCAAGAACAACTTCAAAAATTCACTAAGAAAGATGAGTTGTATTTGAACCAAGACCACTCCCTCCCTCTCCCATCCCAGCTCAAGGAAGGGGAACCTCCACTCAAGACTCCTGCAACCAAGAACACAGGGTTCTGTCCCCACCCTACCCCCACAGGTCTCATTCAGAGGGCTTTCTTCCCAGGAGGAACAGAGTTTCTCATCCAACCCCCAGCTGCCTGTTGCTAGGGCTGAGTCCTAGACAAGTGTGCTTGAGAGGCAGGGGTTCCAGGCCTTCCAGCCCCCACTGGTAGAATGTATACTTTATTGGGTGTGGTGCATGGAAAAGCCTGGGACCCTAATCATCCTTGCCCTGGATTGTGAGGAGAGAAAAGCAAAACCAGATGACCTGTGGCTGCACCCTCCCCTCCAAGAAGTACTACTGTCACTCAGAAACTTGCCACTGTTCCCACCCCACCTCCAGAGACCAGGCTCAGAGCTTCTGTTTGAGGGAAGAAGCAGATATTAAAACAGATAGCTCTTAATTTCTTCCCAAAGGGACTGACTTCATTTGTAAGAGCTTGGAGAAAGTCAAGCCGACAGGAGTAGTGAGAAAAGTGAGGTTGTAGCAAAAGCCAAATAGCCCATTCAAAATACAGAGGCTAAACTGTAGGTAAACTAGTTTGCAGGAGAGAACTAGAGACTAAAACAACTGGGAGGGGCCCTCCTGGGGTCAGAACAAATATCAAACAATAAGCTTAGAAACTATTTCTTCAAAGGACACACTTTTTGACTGCATTTGCTTTCAAAGTAGTTTATGCCCCAGGGCATTGTGGAAAACAATTAATTAGTTCCCAGTAAGTGGATCTTGGCTGCTGGGTGTGGTCAGGGAAAGACAGCCCTAACAAAACCAGCCATCCCAGGGTGATTGGGGGCATATTCAAATTGCCCCTCCCTAAGGACCAACGTCAGAGGACTAACCTTGTGGGAAAGAAGACTACAATGAGACACCATTTCACACCCACTAGGATGGCTAGAATTGGATGAAGTCAGATGATGATATGGTTGGTGAGAATGTAGCCAAGTTAGAGCCCTCATATACCGCGCTGCTGTGAATGTAAAATGGTGCCGCCACGTTGGAAAAAAGTCTACAGTTTCCCAATTAAACATAGATACCATATGACCCAGCAAAAACACTCTTAAATATATACCTAGAGAAATGAAAACATTTCTACAAAGAAATTTGTACATTTCAGCAGAATTATTCTTAATAGCCAAAGGCAGTAACAACTTAAATATACATTAATAAATGAATGCATAAACAAAATGTGGTATATCCATAATGTGGAACATTATTCAGTCATAAATGGAATGAAGTATTGATACAGGCTACAACATGGATAAACCTTGAAGCATTATGCTAAGTGAAAGAAGCCAAACACAACAGACTACATATTCTGATTCCATCCATACAGAATGTTCAAAACTGGGAAATCTGTAGAGACAAAAAGTAGATTAGTGGTTGCCTAGGGCTGAGCAGGTAGGGCTCAAGGGGTATGGGGTTATGGCTAAAGTGCACGGACTTCCTGGGGTGATGAAACATTCTAAAATGTTTGTAGTGATGGTTGCACATATACTGAAAACCAATGAACGATACACCTTAAGCGGGTAATTGATGTGTGAACTATATTTCAATATATACATCAAAAGAACTAAAAAGAGAAATTAAGACATTGCCAGATAAAGAAAATCTGAGGAAGTTCGTTGCTAATACATTTCCCTTACACGTACTGTCAAAGGGAGTTCTTCAGGCTAAAACGGAAGGATAAAAGACTAACTCAAAAGTGTATGAATAAATAAAAGACATTGGTAAAGATAACTACATAGGTAAACATAAATGCCAGTATTATTGTATTTTTGGTTTGTAGCTCCTCTTATTTTTTTTCTGTATGGCTTAAAAAGAAACGGGGGGCGCCTGGGTGGCGCAGTCGGTTAAGCGTCCGACTTCAGCCAGGTCACGATCTCGCGGTCCGTGAGTTCGAGCCCCGCGTCGGGCTCTGGGCGGATGGCTCAGAGCCTGGAGCCTGTTTCCGATTCTGTGTCTCCCTCTCTCTCTGCCCCTCCCCCGTTCATGCTCTGTCTCTCTCTGTCCCAAAAAATAAATAAAAAACGTTGAAAAAAAAAATTTAAAAAAAATAAATAAATAAAAGAAAAAAAAGAAAAAAAAAAAAAGAAATGGACAAGCTGATCCTAAAATTCATATGGAATTGCAAGGGGCCCTGAATAGCCAAAACAATTTTGAAAAAGAAGAACAAAGTTGGCGGAGTGACACTTTGCAATTTTAAAACTTACTATAATCTATAGTAAGCAAAACAGTGTGGTACTAGCATAAGGACAGATACAGAGACAAATGGAATGAATATGAAAGACCTGAAATAAACTTACACATCTATGGCTAATTGATATCAACAAGGGTGCCAAGACCATTCAATAGGGAATAAACAGTCTCTTCAACATATGGTGCTGGGTCAATTGGCTATGTGCGTATAAAAGAATGAAGTTGGACCTCACATAATATACAAAAACGAACTCAAAATGGATCAATGACATAAATACAAGAGTTAAAACCATAAAACATTTAAAAGAATACATAGAGATGTATGACTTCATGACTTTGGATTTGACAAAGAATTCTTAGATTTGACACCAAAAGCACAAACGAGAAAAAAACAAATTGGACTTCAAACTTTTAAAAAATTGTATGCCAAACGACATTATCAATAAAGCATGAAAAATACCTACAGAATGGGACATTTCAAATCAAATATATAACAGTTCAAAATATATAAAGAATTCTTACAACTCAACAACAGCAACAAAAAAAAAAATACCTAAATTAAAAAATGGGCAAAGGATTTGAATAGACATTTCTGCAAAGAAACATACAAATGTTCAACAAGGACATGAAAACATACCCCAAATCAGTCTTTAGGAAAACACAGATCTAATCCATAAGGACTCACCACTTCAAACACACTAATATGGTTGAATTAAAAAACAAAACAAAACAAAAACAGGAAATAACAAGCGCTGGCAAGGAAGCATGGTAATTCCGTGTTTAACCTATAGAGAAACTGGCAATCTATTTTTATTTTCCACAGTGGCTGCACCATTTTATATCCCCAAAACAATGTACACCAGTTCCGATTTCTCTACTTCCTTACCAACATTTATTTCCTGTTTTTGTTTTTTTTTAAATTAGATTCTGCCCTAAACTTAAAAGAAATTTCAAATGGCCCCTGTTACTATAATCCAGGTAACAGGCACTTTAAAACTCCTCTTTTTTATTGACTTTTCTTTTTAAAATTTCTTTTCAAAACTTATTTAAAAAACTAATCCATGCTAGAAGTTCACGTGTCACAAAAGTTTAAGAAATGCATGGGAAATATAATCACTGTTTAAAATAATAGTTACCTCTGGGGATGAAGGAAGAAAGGGACACATTCAGGGATGAGTACACAGAACTTCAACTATGATGGTAATATTTTATTTTTATGTTTGGATGGTGAAAACAGAGGTTCACTGTATTTTTTTTTTTTTTTTGCATCTCTCATTGTATTATTCTTTACATGTTTGTATATCTTAAGTATTTCATAACATATGTGGAAAGCCCCCCAAAAAAGACAAAGAAAGTTAATCTTACATTCCCTCATCATTCCTCCCACCAAAAACAGCATACTAGATACTCTGTAACTTGTTTTTCTCACATAACAATCCATTATATCATTCTCTAGATCAAAAGTGTGTGAAGAGGTAAATCTGTTTCCACAGCTGCAAAATATTTCATAACATGAATGTCCTACAATTTATTCAAACATACTATAGATGGATATACAGGTTGTTTTCAGTTACTCCTCATAAAAATAAAGCTGCAAACGTTTTAGTCTTCCCCAAATATGCTACGCTTAACATAAACATATTTTCACCAAAAGATTTGAACATGAAAAATCTAGCTCTTTTCTTAGTGAATCATCAAGGTAATAATCCACAAAATAATGTAACAATTCCTCAAGAGATTACCTGTACACACACACACACACACCCCTACTTCTGAACGGAACAATGTGCTTCCAGAATAAATGTATGCCCAGAAGTCCTCATCTGAGACCTATACAAAGGATACAAAAAAAAAAAAAAAAAA